TATATATATATATATATATATATATATGCGGGACCAGCAGTGATAGGTTAGGGTAATTAGAAGAGAACGTAACATCTGTCTGCTGTTATTAAAGGTTACTTACTCTTACCCCCATTTTTTATTTTAAACAGTTCTCCGATAGAATAATGTAGGATAAACCTGATACAGTAGCCTCATTTTTCCAGGTGGCTTTTCGCCCTCTCTATACTTCCGTTTATCAATTAAGCATAAGTACTTCTTATTTAACTTTTTGCCAGAATTCCTAAAGTTAAATTTATCTATTAAATACAATAGCTTTCTTAATTTTGCGCCTAGTTGCAGACATTCTATACCATAATCACAATTACTAAACTATGCTATACTAAATCACAAAAACAGATTATATGAGAAAATTCTATCTAATATTCTGTTTCTAACATGTGCTCTGTCACCTCCGATCATTGGATCCCAAAGCCTATGTAGCTATTGAATGGTTCAACTAAAGAAATGTCATTGTTTACTTGAAAACCGATTTAATTCACCACCTTACTATTTCGCTTAATTTTTTTACAAAAAAGGGATATGAGAAAAGGTTTCGGATTTCTTCTTTTCTTCCCAAATATTCCCTATCTCAAAGTGTCTCCTTATTAATCTGGTGTTATGTTCCATCAAGCCTATAGGATAAGTAATATTAGGTATATTTAATTTGAATCGACTTAGCCCATTATTGTAATGGTCCCTATTGGCTAAATGCATACTCTGAATATACATTGATGCTAAAATACCCACTTAAATTCTGTAACTATTGTTGAAATAGGAGTTAAGAATAAAGCTTACTTCATCGTACACTTTCACACGAAATGGATATGAATTTAACAACTTTAATATTTAATCATGTTAGGGCCCAGAGATCTCGTATCTCAACATGCCTCTTTTGGGGTAGCTCTCCTCGAAAGGGCGCTGAAAAATCCCGGACTACGAAACGGTTTCAAGGGTAAAACTCTAACAAATGCTTTTAAGCAAAATTGATTCTGCCCTAAGGTTGACTAGAATCAAGTTGGCAATAACCATAAAACTTCCATCATCATGTTATTCTTCCTTGGGTGCCCATTATATAACGTGTGATGACAAGTTATAAGTACTCTTCCAGTGATTTAATTCGACGGATAAACGATGCTTTTAAAGGAACGGATTGAGGAAGATGCGTAATAGAAGCATGTTGTGGATCAAGAGACATGATAGTATTAAAAGCATTCAACACTTCTGATGATGCTATAACTGCGATTCCAAAAGAAATTCCATAGGCCTTCAGTTCAAAATAATTCCCGCCATTTCGCCCAGATAAAGCTTAGTCGATTTCCTCTACAGGAACTTGCTCACTTGTACAGTTGGTCACCTCCTGGGCTCCAAGGCTGCATTTTCCCTGGTCCACACAGATGCGACAAAGACAGGGTCCTGGAGTTACTCGAGACGAACCGGAAACTACTGGTACCACCGCTTTGGGGCTCCAGCCCAAGTCCGCCGTCCAGACTGGCCGGATTCCGGCGTATTTTCTACTTCTTGTAACCGAGCCCCTGCCCCTCCTCGTACTCCTCGTACTCCCCATTGTTTCCACCATGAGTCCAGGTGATGACAGTGTGTAACCCGAATTATCCTTTTTCTGCAGGCTCCTTCGACGTCTGGCCATTGGCAGGGAATCGCTAAGCCTTGTATCCGCCAGCAAACACGTACGCCAAGGAGTCCATCCCGAAACGGCCAAATTCAACGGATGTCGATTCGCTGGGCAACCTCGAAATCTGGAGGCTACACTAGACCCTTTGGCGTCTAGGACTGTCTCGGACTCTGTGGCCATAATGGGGGAGAATTGGGCACCAGACGACAGGTTGGCGTTGATGGAGGCAGAAGCCTCGGCGTAGGCACCACTGGCCAGATGGCCCCTTATCAATGTACCAGCAGCAGCTACGCTTGCAGCCGTCGACGCAAGACAACGCTGCAACTTGCTACTCCAACCGCAGAGAGGATCGGCTGCGGCGAGGCAGCTGAGGGCGGATTGGAAGCGCGAGCAGCGGGCCAGTTGGATGCGAAAAAATTGGCGACTTGTACGAACATAGAGTCGATTACTCTGAA